TGTCTGCACAGACTGTTCCCCACAGGGAGTGAGAGAGGGAAAAACATGGAAGAAAGTTAAAGTACTTGGATGAGGACAGTTACAGCAATCATCACTACATCTCCCTGTAGCCAGCTGGGAGGGAGGGTGAGCGGGAGCAAACCTTTATCCACCTCGATGGACGCTGTTAGGGGTGAAGATGAACAGCATGTGGATTTGTCTAGGTTTTACTAGTGAGAGGTCTGTGGTGAGTACGGCATTCTCATGGAGAGCTTCTAGGGAGAATGAGACGCAGAGGTGGGGGTGAGATGTATATGGAAAGGGTGCTTGTTACATACGGAGTGAGTTGAAAACAGGATGATTTGTTGAAGGAAAAAATGAGTGATGACGGAGCAATGTGAAATGGGTGGTTATGCTGGAAGAAGTTTGGTGAAGAATGCATACTGCTGGGCAGCAGCGATGCTGTCTGCCATTTTCATCAGTAATCTCCCAAATATTGGGTGAGGACAAGAAAGGAAGCCTGTGAGGTTTCATTTTGGTCCTTTCCACCTGACACTGTTTTTAGTACTTGGTCTCACTGACTGCTGAGCTCAGTCATCTTACCCAGAACATGAGGGAATACCATACTACATATAAAGATACCTAAACACTGCCTTGGTATTTACAAACACATAAAATCACAAACTGAGTCAAGAGAGTCAATAGTCTAGCTAAAAGTCAACAATTGGTTGCTTTTACCAGTTATATTAAATGGACAGAAATCAATGTCCTTCAAATCTACTCTATTTATAAATGAACATAAATGCCTTCAGTGTTTCTGATGTATCAAACAATTTACAGAACGTTTTGTTAAGAGAAGGTATTAATCTTCTGTTTCCTCCTCAGACAAGATTTAGCAATATTTTACAATATGTGTACAGGAAAAAAAATAAATGCACATTCAGAGAAAGCAAATGCCATCAATAAAATATAAAAGAATTTATTCAAGATTACAAGTCCTCCCCTCAAACCTTCTGAAAATAGCCCATATATTTTCTTCTTACTGATCTTACACTTTTCTACTATTGCAAATTTTCTTTTGGTGTTTCGGAACCCTGCCTCTGATTTTTACAAAAGATGGACATTATTTCTTCAGAAATGTCATAGTAGACCTCTAAACATTTAATAACACCAAAAATGGTGGATTTTTTTCAGTGTTAGCAAGAGGCAGAGACTGGAATCTGAATCTACAAAAAGGGGTAAGGGCCACTGTGCTCAGCTTTGCAGGCTCTGGAGGCTTGCCTGGTGCAAAGAGGGTCACGGCTCTGAGCTTGGCTCCTGGATTGGACATGGCAAAAGCTGGTGAGCAAATGAGGATCCCAAAGTAACCAAGAGAACGAGGTGAGGGGCATATCTCACCTCTCTTTTGATTTTTAATTTCTTACTCCAGGCTACAAAATATTGGAATTTCTTGGTATTCACAAACATATCCTTCCCTTAACTGTGCACGGCTACCTTCCCTGACCCGAACTTTCGTATATGAACTAGTTTACTTACTGATAATATTGCTAGCGGCTAAAAAACGAATGTGAGAGAAACTGACCATCCTTCTTCTGTCTCAATCAGGACTAAGACAGAGTGGTAGAGCAGGGAATGGATAAACAAGAAGTGAAAACAGAGTCTAAAAGCCACCCTTGGAAAACCATATCCGTACACAGCATTCAGCAGGGGCAGCATTTGGATAGAGACCTACCATTCAACCTCATTCCTGAGAGGAGAGCTTTGTCAGACCTCCAAAAAGAAAAATAATGTTTCACATGGGGAAGAAATGGTGTTTCTTCCACACAGAAGAGGAGAACAGGAGCATGCATATCTGTCCCATTCAGCAGATATGTTGCGAGATGGTCCTTTTAGATGGAGATGCATTTTTTGTTACAGAGTTTTCACAAACTAGGCTATTTTGAAAAAGAAGTAGTATCTGTCTGTCTTCTCCCCACTCCCACTAACTGGGGCAGCCAAGAATGATGAACCTTAATTTTGAAAAGTATTACCTAAGGGCACAGAAGGAGGCCTGAATCAGAGGAAAGGAAAATAGTTAGGTGGATTAAGTGAGGTGAGCTCATGAAATTTCTTCATAAAGCAAAATGACAGGCTAGCTTGGGAAGATAAAGTTTCCCTAAGCATACCTGACAGCAGAAGATGACTGATGAAATAGGAGAAAATATATAGTGAATCAGGCAACAACAGAAAGCCAAGTAAGGCTGTCTTTTGGACTCAGCAAAACAAACCAGGTCAGGGAAAACACATAGGCCATGCTAAGGAAAGAGCCATGTTCATGTGTGCAACAGCCCAAATTGTCATCCCAGCAACTTGCAGAGGAGCTTGAGTGCAGTGAGTGGAACAAGAGAAACCGACTTTGGAGAGCCATGACAGAAAGCATAGGTTTTAGCCTCCTGGCACCAAGTTCCTCACTCCTTGTGTTGCAGATGTGAGGCCCACTCTTGTCAGACTGTGAATGTATCATATTTTATAAATGCCAGAAACCAAGCAATCAAAACCCTACCACTGTTTAGTGTTGAACATTTTTTTATAATGACCTTTATGTTGTCTGTCCACACATACAGAGAAATGTTCACATTTGGTTTATGCATAGAAGCTTCCTGCTGTTTCTGCACAATATTATTCCTCAAAACAGGCACTCTACTTCCAGAAGTTACTTCTTCATCACTGGCTTCTGTTTTGTCAAGCTCAATAATGAAGAAGTCGGATGTCATGTTTTAAATATGTTTTTGAGGCCCCCCAACAGAGAACAAAATCTTGATAGAAACAGGAATCCTACACGATTTTCCCTCAGGTCACAACCAGCTCAACCACTTAGCAGGTCACAACCTATTCAAACTATTAATTCAGAGTACAAATTGACTTTTCCAGGTTACCATGAACTTTTAGTTAGCATTAATACAGTATCAGTTCCTATTTGAAATGATAAATGTAGCTTTTACAGCCTACAGAGGATTACTGAAGCAGAAACTGCAGTGTTTTGCAAATCAGAGTGTTTAGAAAAGCTAATGCATTATTGATGTCCTGAACAAAATCTTTGGAACTCAATACCTTAAAACTTTGCTTGATTTCCGTATTTTACAAATGATTGCTGTTTAAGACCAGGAGATCCCAGTAAATTTACTTAAAACACCCTGACCAACAAACTATCTGGGTTCCTCAAAAATGTTATGGGCTGCTTTTCTCCCTGTAAGGCAGTTCAAGCACAGCAAGACTAAGCACACCTCCATCACATTAAGATCAAGCACACCTCCAACCCAGTCCTTCTATACCCAAGGAAAAAAAAAAGCCAGATCATTGTAATGAGACTCTAAATAGCTCAGGCAGCCAGAGGGACTCCCAGGCAGAGGCATCGTGGAGGAAAACTGTCAGGCTGTTGACAGAAGGCTCCCATGCGAATCAAGAGGTAGGGACACAGCACGCCATGACGTGTCGATTCCTGTGTGTGCTGTCTTTTACAGTCCAAAAAAGGAGCCACAGCACAGATGGGGCTCTGGAATAGCTTGGACTGTGGAGGCAGAAGGGTCATTTAATGTTACCTCTTTCATCCTGCTGGGTTGTAAATGTTAAGTTATGCCACAGATTTTGGTCCCGGATTTCACACTGAATGGCTTACCCTGTCTTACATAAGGAGCCTGCAGCAAAGCTGGAACTGAACCCAGAGATCCAGATTTTACCTTTCCTTTCTTAATGATAGCTCCAATCTTCCTTGAGACAGGAAAAAATGGGAATCTGTTTAATTCTGAGGGTGGGTATGAATTTTACAGTTTGCATGTACGTCTTTGTTTATCTGATGACTTCAGAAGTTTCCATCAATAAAAAAAAAGTAGAGAGGTGTGCTCAAAGGTTCTCCTCAACAGACCTTAGATTGCAATTATAGGTGTTCTCATTAGAGAAATAGTGAGATTTTGCTGAGGAAATAATTATCTTCATTTTGATAAATCCTTTTCTGTCAAATGGCTATAGACATACATTTTAAACAAGAAAATAATAATCTTTTTAGATCAAGCTACAGCTCCTATGTTAATCAGAATCTTCTGTGTGAAGTCTTCCTCTCTGGATAAACTAAACCTTTGTATTGAAATGGAGGGAACATGAGCTGTAAAAGATCTTTCATCTATGTTGTACAATAGTTCAACTTAATTAAAAAAACAAAACAAAACAAAACAAAAACACACACACCAAGAAAAGAGGATTATTTCTCTCACCCTTGATCTTTCTTACACCTTGATGTAGGCTATCCTGTCATTTTCAAATTTTTGATTCCCTCATGAAGCAGACACAGTAAGTATAATCTTTATCAGAGAGGTTACTGAAAACACCAGGGAGCTAGGCTTGCACCTATCTATTAATGGGATGTATTTACATTCTGTTTATGCAGGTGTGTTTCAGAATTAACAATAGTAACATTTTCCAAATTCTCAAAAAAAAGCTTCCTGCAAGTTTGGGGATGACTGTGCCATAAAGTTAAGTCACTCATCCTACTGCAGGCAATGAACCAACCAAGAATTTAGGGCTAAGATTGAAGGGTTGTGACTGATTTAATACAAAATGCATGCTAAAATATATGTGTGTACCTAAGTGTTGTGTGGAGGCTTGGCTCTACACGCCTTGTCAAGTAGGAGTCAACATTGCTTTAAGTCAAATGTTAAAGTGCCAACAACCAGGTTTACTTCAGGGGAGCTGAAGGAAAGCACAGCCTACACCTTAGCTTTCCAATGTGAGTGGGAGCTGTGACATGAAGTAAAAAAAAAACAGACTTGTAGTAACTATTGTGGCTAGGTAGAAAAAAATCACTGAAAATTGGTCAAACACTGATAAAATGCATAGATTTATGGGTGTAACAAAAGAGAACAGTGTCCTTTTGGAAGGTCAGTCAGTACTTCTTTTCACTTTTTTGGGCCTGTCTGGTTATTTATATACAGCATACACACAGAAATAACTGCACCTATTTTGTCTAATAAAGTGTAATCTACTCTTACCTGGCAAGTCCATATTGATGTGATAATGAATCCATCATCTCTGAAGACATTGAAGATTTCAATGATCCCCCGTGAATAACCAAATACGGAGATACTGGCATCTGATACTGCCAAGTTAAACGTGAGGTAGTCAGTGGGCTGCAGCAGATGTCGTTGTTTATACAGGACAAAAATCACAATACTGTTTCCAAACCAAGACAGCCAACCTGGAAAACAATAAATCCATGAAATCAAAAAACAAATAAAGCAAGAAGCAGTTCAGTGTGTAAATGTGCAACGTCTCTTCTAAAATTACTCTTTTGTTCCATGGCAAGCAAATTAAACTAGATTATCCATTGGAAAACCTATGCATGAAACATTTTTAGGTAGATGGGTACATCTCAGAAGCAGGAACAAGTGAATAACTCCAGCAATGAAACAGAACAAACACAAAGAGCTGCTACTGCTTCATCTGTCAAAGATCTACCACTTAGGGGCCTAGAGAAGTTTTTTTCCTAAGTAGACAGATGAAACCCATGAAATGCAACACCTGGGAAAAAAAGGAAGGAGGAAAGACTACAAACAATCTGCCAAAAGCTGCAGCTGTTTAGGTACGTTGTATATAATAATGGATACCAAAAGTTCATGTATACAGCCAGAGCCATGTTACCAGTCCTCTCTCGAGAACTGCGGCTAAGACAGTCAAGTTTCTTCTGTTAGAACAGTCTAGGATCTACTTGCAGAAAAGCCTGTCCCAGATGGTAACATTTTTCAGTAACACACTTGATGATCTATGTGAATAGAACATTCAGAAGAGACCTTTTGGAAGCTTTAAAGTCTTTTAAAATTTATTTTCAAAGGAAGTTGTGCCCTCTCTTACTCTCAAGAAACAGAGATGTCTGATTTGTACGTATTTAGTTAATACGAGGAAAACACAAGGGAGATGACTGTAAATCTGGTAAAAGTCAGACATTTAATCACTTGGAGAGACCTAGAGTTTCCAAGTGTGCATGGCTATTGCACCACCCACCGGTGCAAGACCTTGGTAGTTTGCATCCCATTTTTTGGAATGATGTAGGCAGATAGAAATGAATAACTTTTAACAGAATGCTTACTCATAAGTGTCAGGCTCAATGTTGAAAATGGGGCTTAGGCAGTGAAGCGGGATGGCTCCAGGGCGGCTGATGGAATAGGGCTGAGCAGCAGGTTGGGCAGCACCTGGCTCCCTGTTGGGTCCCATTTCCATTCCCCAAACTGGCTCTGCCACTGATGACATAGGTGGCCTCACTTCACCTTGGCAATGTGGAGCAAAACACCATCTTTTGAGTGCCTGCAGCCTAGGACAGGTTTATGAAACCAGCAGCTGGTGGTTTTGTTCCCCAGGATTGATGCTGAGGTACCGCATTAACTACCAGGTGACGGAGAAGAGAGTTGATCCATAGACTTCTATCCAGGCACAAGCAGTAGATATCCCAGAGTAAGGGTGCTGTATATTGACACAGCAAGAGGTGAATATATGCACTGAAGAGGGATGTGACACAGTGGCATTGCACAGCATCTCTGGATATTCAAACAAGCTCATGAGATGAAAGATGGCTGATATGTTTAATGTTGTAGGAAGAGAGCAGCTGCCTTTCTTCAGGAAGCATGAACAACCTCCCATGTGTCAGGAGCTCAGCATTTTGCCGCCAGGTTGCCTCGGATAGGAAGGCAGGGGAGGAGATTGTCTCCAAATCTCCAGGCCATCTGGGAGTATCATGGTCTGAAATGCCAAAGAGCAAGGTGTTTGTTCTCCAAACAAAGAGGTTGTGTACTTACCACCTGGTACAGTGCTCTGGGTAGTCTGGAGTCAGGGGGGATGTGGTTGAAGGGACAGTCTGTACGGCACTATGAACTTCTCTTTCTGCAGATCAATTTCATTTGAATAACTTCTCTTTGCAAAATTGCCAAGCTGCTGCTGCTCTGGCTTGCTTAGCAAATGCACGTGGTTTACTAAAGAGCTTTTGAAGTGAGAAGAGCTGACATGTCAGCATATGGTATTAACTAGAAATAGTCACTGAGGCAATGATACACTGGGATATATACATATATTTTATATATATCTCATTATAAGGATAAGATCAACAATAATAAATACATCTTATTCTGTCCACTAGGTGACAATGTTTCTTAATCTAATCTCATTTCCAAGGGCTGCATGCACTTTAAGTCAGGAATTGTTTCTGACTTTTGTCTGAGTCTAGGTATGATAAATAGGCCCAGCAGGGCACTGGAGGAGGACAGCTTTGGCAATGCATCAAGATAGTCTGCAATGCAAACATGGTAGTTGTGTTGTTTGTGTATGTCAGCAATACCTTCTGTAAAGTAAGATATTTTTCAAGGCAGTAGGCATGGAAATATTTTCCCTGTCAATATGAAGACATAGTGTTAAAATGGCAGAAAAAATAAAATGGCACCTCCTTTGTAAACAGCAAAATTTTGAATTTTGTCAAGGCAATGTAATGGATAGGAGGGCTACCCTTAAATCGTCGGACACACATGCTTCCTGGTAATAAACAGAGCAGATCCCCTCTAGCCTGGAGGGTAAGGGCGATTTCAGTTAAATTATCTTAAGGAAGAAATTGAGCAAAATGTCCTGTAAAACAGCAATTCACGTTTAAGATAGAGGTGACAGAGACACAGTATTTGTGATAATTTTTTGGAACTATGTTCACACACTGAGAGTGGGGGATGAGGGAAGAATTGAGGGAGAAAAGGTTACAGAGTGTGTATGACCTCTGCAGGTAGGCACCATCCTTTCAACCAAAGCAGGTGGAGAACCTGCACTGGCATATCCAGTCCCTAAAATGTCTGTCTGTGTAGTAGACCATATTAATACTGTGATAAAAAAAAAAAACAAAAACCAAACCTGGAAGGACTCAAATCTCAGTAAACAGTAGAGTAACAAAAACAGTGCTCACATAAAAGTGTTATCAACTAGAGAAGTGACTGTGAGACACTAGATCTCTGCACCATCAGATAGATGGGCTGGTTGTTTGTTTTGTTTTGTTTTTAAATTAGTCACCCAATATAGTTTAAAAACAAAACAAACAACCCCAACCAAAAGAACACCTCAAACCAACCAGCTTCCCTCCCCCAAACCCTGACAGCACAACAGGGAAAAATGTTGAAAATGAAATGTGGAGGAAGCACAGCAATAGCTCTGACACTCTCAGTGAGGGCAGGGATCTCTAACTGCTTTGCAGCCAGTATGTGCCTCAGGGTAGATCACCGGCAGATCAAGAGCTTAGAAAAAACCCTCTGAACTTCGAAGTGTTATAAGGCTTTGGTGTCACCAGGTGGCATCTCAATAAAACAGAGGATAGAAGCGAAACAACCGAGGGAACCAGTTTCATTTTTTATCAAGCTGCCAGCAATATTCACTCACAAGAATGTACAAAAAAAAAACCCACCCCAAAACCAAACCAAATCAATAATTCAAAAATCCAACCCCATCATCCTAAAGTAATCCTGGTGGGAAAGGACAGGTTCCAAATAAGATCAAAACGTTGCTGAGAGGGAAAAAAATAACAGTAACATAGTAAGAAACTGAACATTTCCACCCATCATAAGGTCCCGACAAGAATCACCACATTTCTCTCATAAGATGTAATGATGTCTGATATGGGCTGCTCATCAACAAGAAACGCTGGCCCTTCTGAAGTGGCAAAACACACAGATAACATAGAGTTACTGAAATTCATTAACACAGGGCAGGACTGAGAGCAGCTGCTGTGAGTCTGGCAGTATCAGAGTAGAACAGGTTAAACAAGAGTTGATCAGTGCTAAGTACTGAACTGCTAAGGAGTCGCCTTTACTCCTTAGACACCAACAGGAAAGTACTTTGCACCACATTTGCAAACATTGTGAGGTAGGAGGAATAGGATATTATTAATATTAAAATGTTGTATTACACTTATATAATTCATTAGTAATCCTTCTCTTGGAATAATATCCCCTAATAGAGCATTTTAATCCACAGATGTAAAAAGTGCTCCACAAAGGAGGCTGGTGCTGTTATCCATGATTTCTGGGGGAAGCACAGAAAAGCTGCCCAAGCAGGCTGGTGGTAGTCAGGAACCAAAACCCTATTGACAAAGCCCTGTGCAAAGAAAGCACAGAAAAAGTAGCCAACGAGAGTGATTAAGAATACTGAAAAATCTCAATGCTGAAAGTGACTGAGAACAGAGAGATTGTTTATTTCTGGGAATAGTTAAGAGGGAACACAACAATTTTACAAAGATTTCTGCCAAATCACTCAAGCCTGAGCATCCAGACATACCCTGTTTTTCTCTCATGTACCTGAGATGGTCTTTGAACAAGCAATAAACACCCGAGGCTGCATACAATTTCATTGTTAACGTTCAATTTATGTTTTTGCGGAGTTAAATTGGGTGCAACAGAACTGATAAATCCAAGCTGATCATCCACGTTTTCAACAGATGACTGCATCCGTGCCCAGCTAAGATAGGTTATTATGCTTTGTACTTAGACTTGTTCTTATTAGACATTGTTTCACGGCCTTTACTTGTAAAGCCCGACAAATTTGAATTAGGAAAAATAGGTGTTACAATTCACCCATCTGCAGTTTAAAATATACAGGGAGCCTTAAGTAGAAGAATTCAAGAAATGAGAGCAAAAGGTGAAGGCTCAGTGTCACAAGTCAAGCTACTCCTTTCCCTCAGCAAATAACCTTATGTCTAGGACACAAATTGGATTGAACCTAGATACAGAGCAGACATGAATGAAGTCGGTTACTGATTCAACTACCTACACACAAGGATAGATGTCTATCTGAAGAGGTTAGCTGTAAAAGATTTTCAGAATAGAAATCTTTATTTAAAACAGTAGTAAAATTTAGAGAATTTGCAAAGCTGTCATTAACTATTGCAACTGTGAAGTGACCCTGCTCTGTTTTTAGTATTCGCTGCTAATTAAGCATACACATTATCCTGTCCGGGGCACATTGCCAATTTTGGCAGGAAGGAGAAGAGTCATCATGCCTTAGACTTGACAAAGCGTGGAGAGATTATTTGTTCAATAAATGTGATCATTTTGTGGATGAATGTTTTGTGAAAAGCTTGTTTCCTTTCCCACCTTCTCAGATGTATCTGTCAAATATTGTCCCAAAATAACATTCATTCTGTCACTTGTCAAATAACAGTTTGCTATTAACATTTGGAAATGT